TAAACAAACATTTAAAGAAACTTGCAAAAGGATAAAAACGAAATTGAACCACAGTATCGCATTTCTATCTTAAAAGACCTGGCCTGAGATTTATGGATTTAAGATTTTGCTAAATCACGCTTAGGCCTATGTGTTCTATTAGGCCTATGTATAACGTGTACTGATGCATATTTACATGTTTAGAAGTATTCATTTTGAGTCACGATCCCAGGAAAGAATTTGTATTGGCTCAAGAATAAGCTTTAAAATTTTAACAATGTGTACAAAGGGGGGGGGGGGAGCCGCGGCTCCCACGCACCCCCCCCCCTGGATACGTCCCTGTGAAGGAAGGAAGTACAGTTTCGTATCTAATTAATTTAACTTTTCTGTGTAATGCTTCACCTGTGTAAACTCAAACGTTCAGCCACAATTAGTCACGTTTATCAAGTTATACAAATAGATACAGTCATTAAACAGGATTATAATTGATTAATATTTGGATTCTCTCTTATGGTGCGGATTATTTCTATTATTATAGCAAAACCCTGAACCGCCGATAGGGCGCTAATGAAGATCAATTGAATGGAGAAATCTGTGAACAACTTACAAGGACCTGCTTAAATAATGATAACACAGAAATTACGATGGTGATGATTTAAATATGGTCGACAAACGCCGCAGACTGGCCTTCATAATATGGATATGAAACTACAATATAGAAACTTCTGTGTGTTGATAATAAAATTATACTAGTAAAATTATATTTTAGTGGAATCCATAACAAAGATAAATAATATTCTGATAGATACTACGCTGTATGAATTACAAACCGTGTTTATATTTTCTCACTAAATTTATATCACCGACCAGCATTTTGATAAAACTAAGCAGATTTAAACCCCTTAAACGTTGGACTAAATGGTAGATAACGCCATAGTGTTGACCGCCGAATATAGGACATTCCAAGTGGTAAATCATAACAGTCGTACAAAGAAACTGTAGTATCTGTATCGATCGTTTGTCCCCGTTGCCACGTATCGATCCCACGCTCCGTAGACGTTCCTAGACCGAATTATATAAAACAGAATATGACGTTATTAGGCATATTAATTTCATCATTATGTTTATCACTCTCATTATAAAAAAAAACTATTATTTTTAATATCATTATTTTTTAATTTAATTATTTTAATATATTTAAAATTGTGTATTATTTTTATTATCATCATTTTAATATAATTTAACATTATCGTCTTCATTACCACCATTACTAATATTATTTTTATTATCATTATTAGAATACTTATAAGCCTATCAAAATACAATAATCATTAAACAAAGTACGACATTGAATGTATTTTACCCGGAACAGTATTATCAAGAATGAGAGCAATGACTCCGCCAACAAACATATTAGTCGAAAGAAGAATCTTAAAAGCTTGGTCAAGCTCAACAACACCTGAAAACATAAACGTCAAATCAAACTTAACAACCGAACAATCAGAACAGAGAGAACGTCCCATAAACATTCAACTTTAAACAAAAATACTAGAAACACAAGATAGAGTTCTCAACAGAAAAAAACTGTTCCACCGAAATTCATGGTGGGAATACAAACAATGGGGCGCCGCGTACGGCTGGTTCTAAAAAACTTCTGCCACCGTTACATAACTGTGAATACATAGCCTCCTTCGCGGAGGTTGAAATTGTTGCCATTATCCATAATATACAAACAAGTAGGTATAAATAAATCAATAAAATGACGGACACAAAAGCGCAGATTCGTATGACCGGACTCTGATTAGTGATTTTCCTCCATTAGTGGAAAAAGAAGGCCGCCGCGTGCGTCTGGTTATACCTAGCAACAGCAGGGTGCCCTGTACGTCTGGACCAAGACAGCCTTAACGTGCACATGGGTCATAATTCACACGGGACAAACGGCTTAAACGTCGCTTCCGAAAGGCAGTGCGCTATCGCAACTTGCATTTCAGCACTCTAGCTGAAATACAAAGAGAGGCAGTGGGAATTGAACCCGAGGGCCAAGAGATCTCTACAGTTCAGCGCACACACAGTGGCTACTACCAGTTTAGCCGACTGAGCTTAGCTGCTCATTTCATATCATTTCATAACATTTCATATTATTAAATTTTATTATATATCATTTCATTTCATTTCATATATCATTTCATTTCGTATCTTTTTATATCTTTTCATATCATTTCATATCTTTTCATATTTCATATCTTTTCATATCATTTCACATTTCATATCTTTTCATATCATTTCATATAACTTCATATCATATAGGCCTAATTTCATATTGTTATATCATTTCATATCATTTCGTATAATTTCATATAATTTCAATTAATGTGTTATACATTTGTATAGGCC